ATATCCTCCTTGCAGAAAGGTTACATGTATACAATACAGCAGGCACACAGGAAAGTCTGAAGCTTCTTCCTAACTCCTAATCTCTTCAGCTGCCACAGAATCCTAACTTCTCTTAACTCCCTAAATCTTGTTCTGTAGGTTAAGATACTTGGGAAATCCTTCCTTTCACAGTTCCATAAAAATAAGCTATTATATACCTACTAGGAAAGTCTACTCTACCTCTTCTAGTAACTGAAACAGGTCAAGACAAAAGGTAAGGGACATAAAATACCAATTCCACTCTTCCAGAACAGAGGGCTGAGGCAGAGACTAGGCAAATAGTTCAAGGAAACAGCTTCCACCATTGGTGAGGGAACCTAAACAGTCTCTGAAGCTCATAGGAAGCTACGAGTGCCATAGAGGAAGAGACAAGCAGACTTTTGTACCAGGTAGACTCAATTTCATGGTAGGTCAGAATGCTGTCAAAATAAGCTGACATTCAGGAGAGGCAGAAAGATAGAAGCTCTGCAGAAAAGTCAAGGTACACAAAAAAGAATCATGGAAACCTAAAAGATGCATAGTACAGATCCTGATCTGCTCAAGAGCAGTGAGGAAATCAAGTGATAGAAATAAGAGTGGGGTTTTTTTTCTTCTCTTTGATGTACCTTCCAAGAGTGAATATGTTAAAAGACTCAGGCACTGTTTGGGCCCTGTGTTTGGCCATTATTAGTTCTCTGAGAGTGCAAACAGTGACCATGGGGTATGCTCTAGGCAACATGCAAAAGTTCCTTGAGTGGCTTCATGGAGATGTTTTAAGTTTCAGGGATTGGATATTTAAACCCTCACCATGAGAAAGGACAACAGGCACAACATCGGCCCCCTGCAGATCATGCAGAAGCTGATGCTGTTTATTATTGGTTTGCTAGGGACTGCAAATGAAGAAATGACTCACCTCTAAGTAAATTTGGTGAATATTCAGCAAGGGGAACTTTTATCATTCTTCAAGATATCAACAGACACATCCTTAACTAAAGCAATCAACTCATTACATTTGAAATATGTGAAAAGATTGGGACTATTGCTATTTTATGTGGACACCCACACCCACAAAATCATCTTAGAGCAGAGACTCAGCATAAAAATTTACAGCACAAGCAATCTGTTGGCAAACTAACAAAGAACAGAAGTCAGAATTTTATGCTTGGAAACATCAAGCAGGCATGGATATCTATACCACTAAGATATGTAGTGTATATTAAGTGTCGTGTTTAAATATAGCTTTAAAATCTAGCTTATTATCTTTGCATGCTTCATGTAACTCCATCTATTATTCTACACTTTTGTTGTTGTTGTTGCTGTTGTATGCAGCCACAAACATTGCACAGAAGTTAGTTCAGCTTTTGTTCACCATGTTGCCTAACATCCCCCCCCATGCATTTGCACTACTGTCTGCAGCAGGTGCTAGCCAAACCAGCACTGAGAACAATTCAAATGTCTGCTCAGACTGGAGTACGCTACCAAAATTCTTTGGTCACTGGATGGTCATATAAACATGAGTAATTTGAGATCTGCAGTGTTGAGCAGTGTTCAGTGACTTCTATGCTAACGCTGCCGCCTTTACCTGTTGCTGTACTTTAGACCCACATAACCGGTGGGATGGAATTAGGGCTAGTTCTCTCAAGATCCAGTTCACAACTCACTTTTGCAGGTTTCTCAAGTCACTGCGGTAGCAGCAGAGTTCATTTTGCACAGCGTCAATTTTTTGGCCGTGTTTTAAATAACGTTTGCTGAAGCAAGAATATGTTACATCTGAGTATTGGTGAGGCAGGAAGGCAGCCAGAACAACCAAGGAGCAGAAGTTTTAGGCAGCTTTCCATATCTACAATAAAGCTCAAATCTCTAGCAAAGTTATCTAAGGAATTCAGACTGAGAACAAATGAAAAAAGGAATGACACAGATATGGCTGTCCTATAGCTGAAAAAAAAAGGCTCGTGATTTGGGGCAGTTTCCAGCACAGTTATATCACTGCGTTGCTTTTATTCCTGAGAAAAGCCTGAGTCAACATAATGCCAACAGCAGCTGCGTTCAGATTCTCACTCTCTGGCAGTCTGGGTAAAGGAAAATTATCTTGAATAGATTGATCGAAAGTCATTGCCCACCATCACCCATTCAAGAGCTACATGAAATAAATATTCTCTGGCTAGGACCAAAATGTTGCACATACTTCCATCCAGTATTTTAATTATTTGGTGCCTCAACTATGTTATAAATTGTAAGAATATATAAGGATATCTGACTGTTTCCTATTACAGTGTCATCTCACTGGGCAAACATCTCAAAAACTGTGGCTATTTCAGCTTTAATAGTGCCTGGCCAACAGCATGATGTACAATAGTTGGTTTCTGAGTTTTTTATTTTTTTCTTCAGGTAGTGAATTAGTATGGTTCCTTTTTCTCCCTGCAGTTGCAGACTTCCAAGAAACTTGTAGAAATGTAATTATTTTTAAGACCTTGGCTCATGTGTCAAATATGTACGAAATTTGGAGTGAGAGATAAACTGAACCATTACATAAGCTTCCTTTCCTTAGGAAAGCAAGCTAATCAAGATTGTTCCATGAAATCCCCACACCCAAATGACTGGAAGTGCATTTTTTTCACAAACACAGACCCAAGCCAAACAATAACCATCAGAATCCCTTAGCCCAGTGTCCTTTTTCTTGGCAGTGATATGTGCTCGTGTTTCAGACTCAAGCACACATTGTTTGGCATCTGCTTCGAGGAAGGCACTTACAAGGTTTTCATATTAATGTCAAGCTGCATTTCCAACTTCAACTGAATTGAACCGAAATCATTGCTAGTTTACCATTAATCAGGCTGTAGGAAAAAGAATGGGTATAACAAAATGAAATGTTACCCGATTTTTTTCCAGAATGTTAGGTTACTGTGCTTAGGATCCATCTAAGCTGCTAAAGTATTCTCTATTTCACATCATTGGCAGATGTCTCATACTTTTTCAATATTTGAAGTAAAAATAAAGAGATGAGTATTTGGGGTATTCATTAGATTAATATTGTTGGCTATCTATTCCGCATACTATGATTAAATTAGCACTGCCTCAGCAGCAAATTAGTCTGGATTACGTTATAGTTGATATGGACTCTACCTGCTTAACTTTTAAAGTCTGTATGCTTTTTTGTGTGTGTGCTTATATTCCTATAGCATGAGTGGTGTCATCTGCTGGAGGCCTCTGTGCTTCTTTCAGACCCTCTTCGTAGGTGGGGGAACAAGAGAATACGGATTGTACCTCTTCTCCCTGCAGCACAAAGATGCTCAAAGCACAGTCACTCTCAGTGGGCAAGCCAAATGAAGGTAGTGATGCTGTACACATAAACCAGATCAGTAATCATGCTCTGGTTGTGTGCAAAGCTGAAGAATGGACCAGCATTTGCAAGAAAATGAACTATGTTTCCTTTGCCATTGAAATGATTCCTTTGCAAAACCATACTACATTAAAGAAGTACTCCTACAAAAATAAAACCACTTTTGGTTTTATTTTGTTTTTAAACATATAGTTTACAGTTTACATACAGTTTAATTGAATATCTGTTCATTTCATCTCTCTCACTTGGGAGATTATTGAATCTGTCGGTCAACTGAATACAAGTATATTCAATTTGATACTCAAATTTAATACTTGCTCACTTTGACTCCAGAAAGAATGCAGAAGTCCCTGCTTAAAGATGTCTGAGTCTCCTTAACTTGTTCCCTCCTTTGGATATTTCCAACCAGGGACCACTCTTATCTCCAGCTCACATTTGGGAGACTCTCCTTTTGTTCCCATGGAGTGTATTGGGTTGCAGTAAGTGTCAAGGAGTTAATACAGAAACTTTCTTGCTATTAAGGCAACTGAGAATGGTACCAGAATTCTTACTCTATGTTTTATTCTCTGGTATCTTGTACCATTATTAATTTGCAGCACAAAAAAACATAAATAGTTGCATAAGGAACAAAGGTTTTTCTTGACATGGAAAAACACATCCCTCTGGTGCCCAAACGTTTTGGGATGTGAAATGATTGTTTGGCTATGAAAAAAAAAATCAAAATGTTGTCAAGCCCTGGCTTTGTATGCCCCAAACACCAGTCAGACACCTGCACTATGTTATCTGCATATACAATAAAACTCTGTACACAGAAGTCTGGAAGAAAATATCTAAAAGCTGGAGCACACTATAGAGGCCAAGCTCCCAGAGTGCATTTTTGCAGTATGTCTTCATTCAACCACAGAGTAGCTTTTAGTCATTGTATTAAAGGGAAAAATACAGAGCAGAAATATTTTTTTTTGTTAAATGATGATAGATTCAAACCCTCTGACGCAGGTGCTTTATTTGCATTTTTAGCAAGTTGACTGAACTTCATGCAGAAGTATTTTTAGTTGCACCTGTAGATTGCTTTTCCTTTATAAAGTATCTACTCACACACCTAAAATCTTTCTCACTGTATTAACATGCTGATCAAAGCAGCACGATACGTGTAAAGAGTCACCTCACAGAGATCCTTGCCAACAAGCTATCTGAAACAGATGATTCTACTAAAGAATATGCACAAGTCTCCTTTCTCTAAAACAAGGGAACCTGCAGGTGGGCAACGCAGGACTTAAACTGATCTGAAGCAGAAGCCAAAAACATGTGAATGAACAAACACATTCATTAGTGTCACAACCTCTTCCAAGTTTGTAATGGTACATTAGAGACCGTCACAGAACCCCTGCCTGCTTCCCCCTGTTCACGTTGTGCATCACTTGCAGTCCAAGTGTGAGCTAAAACACAAAAAAAGCGCTTGAACTAAAACCATTCATTTTTACAGACAGCATTTTTTTAAGCTGAACTGAAATCAAGCCTAACCATCAGCTTTTTTTTGTGCAACCTTTTACTAGTTATTTTTCTTATCAGGTACATGGAGATAATTCTAGTTGAATCTGTTTGTCTGCCTATTCACACGTGCATAAAAAGCTGGCTAAAACCAAGCACCTTCTGCAAACTTTTCATTTGGAAAATTACTCAACCGTTTTTTTTGTTAGGAAACCTGCAGTGGATTTCAAACAAGCCTGGTAGTTACATGAAACAGTTTTGGATACAGAAGCTTGTAACTACAGGCAGAGAAAGCAATGAAGGCTACCCAAGTATTTCTATTATAAAACTTGCACCTTCTGTTCCAAAAGCCAAACTTCAAATACTTGTGATTAATTATTTCTCTGGTAAGCATCCAACTCAGACTCTTTTTTTTCTCCCAGTATACTTAAAGATATTAGTAAAAGTAACTGATCTCTTGCTTAGATTTCTAATTAGGAAGGTGAAGATTTCACCAGAAATATAAGAGAAAAATTGCATAAGTATGGCTTTGTGCTTCAGGGAAGGGCAATGATATAAGCAGCTGTTGTTTTACCATGTTTTGCAACATTCATTCTGCATTGGCTGTGTGTTTGATTTTCAAATCTAGTTTCTTAACTACAGGTTTTTTGCATTTAGCTTACATGCAACCCATACTGGGGGAGGCTGTAGCACAACATTTTTAGCACAACATTGCCTTGACCAGTAGATCATATGGGAAATACAGTAGGGAAATGTTGCATCTTCCTGCAAGAGAATTAGTTTTCTTTCTACTCAAAGCTCACACATGTTGAATAAGGAGCCTGCTTTTCTTCTCCTCATATTATTATTAAGATTCTTGTCTGTTTTCTCACAAGATGGAGAACACAGTGAAAGAAATGACACGATAACAACAACAAAAGAAAGAAAGCAAACTCTCTTCCCTGACTCCATGCTTTTGCAGAAATAAATTTGCTATGCTGCAGAACTTTTATCTTCAGCAGAGAAAAGAGCTAAAGGAGAAGCACTATACTGGTCACAGCAGTTCCACCCTTAGAGAAGCTGCGTATTTATATTTACCTTCTAAGTAAAAGCACTTACTTTTGTCCACCAACAGACATGTAGTCCAGCCCATAACCACACTATATTAATCTGGACCACAGAGGCAGCTGGTAAGTCTGTTAACTGCTACTAAGGATGGTAGGGGAAAGGAACAGCTGAAAGAGCAAAAGGCTGATCAAATAAAAAGGAGAGAAAAATTTTAGTATTTTAGATCAAGCCTCTCCCCTTTTCCCCCCTTTTTTTCCTGCTGCTGTTGCATCAACATTGCACACTAATTTGCAATTAATTCTGCTTCTTCCTCACTTTTGCATTTGCATTGGTTTTTACAGCTAGGTATATTAATAACAGATTCTTCTCAACTTGTGACAGTAGATGATATTTACTGTAATGCATTTGCTTAAATGCAAAGTGCTAAATGCAAAATAACAAGAATAATACTGATTTTGCAAAATGAGGAAGAGAAAGTGGGTCAAGCTTAAGCATACTCATTGCTGATCTGCTGAATTGCTAAGCACCTGAAGCTAATGGGTAGCAGAAGCAGTTGCAATTGCTCACTGAGGTTCTCCTTGCCTTATTATATCAAGTCAATACATGCTTAATGATCAGAATCTCTCAGCTTCAACCTTGCATTGGCGCTCAGGGGAGGAGACCTGCATGCTGAGGGCTTTGCTACTCTCATAAGAATAAACAGTATAAAAATGGAAGCACGAGCAATCTGCCTTGCCTGGGGTTATTATTAAAACCTGGTTACATGTAGATTCATACTTATTTGGTGACGGCAACTCCCAGTCTGAAGTCACCTGTAGCAGGTGAGGAATTCCTTGGGTGTATCAGATACTTCATTTAGCTCTGGGCAGATAACAAGAAAAATTACAGGTTAGCTACCTAGTTCAAAAGGGAAAAAAATGCATTGCAATTAGAGAGCCCATTATAAGCAGGAGATTAATACCTGCCAAGCTGCATTCTGGGATGCTGGGATCTGTTCCCAGTGCCATCAGATGATGTGCAGAAGACGATGCAGTAAGTACAAGGCTTTGATTTTAAAATTACATACATAAATATATATATATACTACATATATTATCTGAGGGAAGATGGTAATCACTGTTTAATCAAGGATAATGTTTTCGAAGTGTAGAAACAGCTCTGGTCTTCTTCAGATTACATATTAATGTTGGTTAAATGTTTATAAATCTTGTTTTGGCATGAGCAAGGATTTCAAGTTGCCTGTGTGGATAGTCTGACTCTGAGCAGTATATAATATGTTGTCCACTAAGTACAAAAATATATGGCTACTGTCTAGAGAGCTAAGTGTGTAGTACTTCATAAACTGGTACACTGCTGGTTGAGTAAAGCATTTGAATACCATAACTAATTGTACATATGGACTGCAGGCTACTCCAGTTTTAAGTTTCCATGAAGTAGATAACAGTTCTTTATGACAGTTCTCTATTCTCTTCATATGGATTCAGCACAAACCTTAAATAAACACTGCTTAGAAATGCTTTATAAGAATGTACATCTTGAGGCCTACATGGCAAACTGAATCAAGCAACTAGAGTGCAGAAATTTACAAAATCACTGCAGTTAGTTCACAAGCTAAAGGATGTGTAGTGCAACTGGCTATTTTATTATCTTCTGTTCAGATTAACCCTTACCCATCAACGACTTTATCTCTATACTCTGAATGGTAGATGATGCTTTTGATATACATGGGAATATACAGAAAGGGCTTCTTGTAATAATTTTATTCACCAGAATATGCTACATACACACAGTGCTGAAATAATGCCATGACAGACTAATTTCCATCAGGAGTATACAAGCAATTAATAGCATTTGAAGAACTGATAAAAATGTAAATTTCTAACTCCTGTGACCAAAGTTTATTTGCTAACAGGGACTTGCAGAAAATTTAAAAGAATTTCACAGATTTTTGAGTAGGCTACTGAGGAAGAATTGTTCCATGAAACTAGAGCCAAATCTTATCATTTTAGACTTAGTCGTGTGCAATATTGCTTTATTTATTGCGTTCAGAATCAAATTTGATTGTTATACTAAAGTCTAAATAGATGCTATGGTGTATAATGAACTCTCATATTCTGATCAGGATAATTGTGAGTGAAAGAGATGGCTGACTTTTAAGTGTTTTTTTCATAGACATAGATACAAGAAATGACCCACAGAGTAAGCAGGGTCATCATTCTCTGATAGAACCCGGTGAAATTCTTTGTGCTTGAAGTACCAGCATAGCCTTCACACTGGCCCTTCTTAGCCACTGTTTGTCATACTTCCTAATTTCCTGAATGAAACTCTACCTCTTTATAACAAACTGCACCAAATGTCTGTATCCTGTATCTTCCAAATATGAGTTCATGCATACTGCATGGATACAATTGGTTTTCAAAAGACAGATTTCAATTATGCATTAAATTCTAATATGAAAAGATATCATCTCATTGTTTAAGCGTATCTAACTACCAGTGAGCTTAATCCTTATGTTTTTTAATTCAACAAGCAAAATGAAGTATTTCATTGCTCTTTTCAACATAGCTGCAGAAGTCTTAGTGCAATTTTGGTAGCTCTTGCATGGATGTAGGACTGGTTTTTAGAAAAGTCTGAAATAAAAACCACACAAACCAAACAAAACACCCACCAATATACTGGTCATGTCAAAAGAGTCTTGGTGGTCCCTCTTCTACAGTGTAGCTAAGTATAAGATATAAAGTATTCAAGTCAATCTCCCACTAGAGGAGGGGGGGAAATCAGAGAGAAACTGGATATTCACAAGGATGCTTGTCTTGTTTACATTAATCTTTGTGCAAATAGTGACCAGAGATTATTTAATAAATAAATAAATAAAAATCCTAGTGTCAGTAATTATGCCCAGACACTGAAATACCTAACAGTTCCTACATCATGAAAGTTGAGCCTTTTCAACTGTTCGAATTCAAATCTGAATTCCTTACACAGGATGTACCAACACTCCCCGTGAAGCTCGTGTTATAGGAGCAGTACACATATCTCTCTTAGTGTTACTGAACTTTGGACATGTAACAATACCGTCATCTTGAGCACAAGCACTTCTGAGTCTATGGAGTGTGTATACATTCAACTTGTTTTCTGTGTTGATAATAATAACTAAATCTCAGTACCGCCTGTACCATAACTAGCATGGATATATCGTCCTCTCGTAATGTAGGTGCATGAACAAAAAGAGATGTACTGTATATAACATATGTTGGAAATAAGCACAAAGAAATTCAAAGCATTCAGATTCCCTCATGACTCTAAGCAGTTAAAATATGTGAATGTGTAATTTATCATGTGATGGACCTTAAGATTCTACTCCAGTGGAACTTCTTGGGTAATATTCAAAACTGAAGTAAATTAAAAATGAAATATAGTTTCCAATCTAGCGTCAGTGTTCAATATGGCAAATGCAATACTTCCTTCAAGTAAAATAATAATAATAAATTGTCCATGTAAATTGTAATTGCTTTCTAACAGGAAAAGATGTTTAATTTCTTTCAGAAGAAGAAATTAGTCAGACACAGAACAAAATCTATTCATATGCAAAAATTACTCATCTATAAATTGCAGCTGTTTTCATGCATGCAGTGTTAGATTACTTATATCCTGAAAATAACTGTAAACCAGTAAAGAATGTTTATTTCTTTCAAGTTAATTACTTATGCAAAGTGCATCTGTTGGATGACACTGATAAAGCTCATGACTTTTCAAACGTTACTCAAAATGTATTTTGGTTTAGAAAGAGTTCATCAAGAATCTTCCCCCCCCCCAAAAAAAAAAAAAAAGCTTTTTATAGGAAAGTGACATTCAGAGGCAAAAGCTATGCATGGAACACTTTTCTGACCAAAGTTTCATCTAAATAGATTAATTTTCAAGACCAGATTTCTGGTTTAGATGAGACAGCCCTTTGTTCCAGGTTAGAAAATAATGTAGTCACTAGGCCAGTTGCTTGGAACAAAATAATTTGCAGGATTTTGCTCCTATTAATATGTGTTACTTGAAGCAAAATAGCTCCATCTGGAAAGACCTATCCCTAACTTTTTGTTCTATTGACGAGGCTTTACCTTATTCCTTCTTTAAAGCAGAATGTGCCCTACTTGAGCCTTTTGTGCATGGTACCACAGCAATCCTTTCCCTTTAGTTTTCAACTACGTCTTTCTCTCCTAACACCATCTGCTTTCATACTAAGTATAATCTAAGATACCAGTATTTCTCCAGTATGTGATAGGAAAACAAATGAATGATAATTCATGTTCTCTTTGACTCTTCATGGTCTAGTCCTGGAGACATCACAAGAAAAAAGGACAGATTAAACCTCACTTCTTTTTAGAGGAAACAGGGATGCAAAACAAAAACTAACATATATTGTTTCTTGAATTAATTTCCTACAGACATAAAACTCAGATATTAAGAGTATGACTTCACATGTCTGTGTGCTTCTACTAGTTAATCCTCAGGTAATGTGCTTTAGTATTATGGACAGGCTTTCAGTATTGAGCAACTGCAGAATGTCTTCAACTATAAATTTAGTAGGTATTGCAGAATTCAAAAAGCACAGGCTGGATGCTGAAACATCCTGAGGAAGAAAGCTTTCACAACAGCAGCAACAACAAGAAAAACATACGGAGGGAATGTGTGTTTTATTTATTGAAATTATCCTGAGCATTCTGAACTTGACTCTGTAATGTTGCCAATTGTCCTAAATGTGTGGAATGCAATTTGCCTTTAGGGCACATGAACTTCTGAAATTGCTTGATAAATGCTTCCAGCAATGCCTCACATTCTGTTCTGCTGATCTATCTGTTGATGTGAGTTAGTGATGCACCTGAAGACAACATCCCTCATCAATACTTACCGTAGCTAGCTTTCATGTAATCATGGCTTTGATGCTCTTATTTACATCTCTACTCCTTGTGCATTGCAGTGTGCACCTGCTCTTACTACAGACTTAAGACAGCTACTAGAATGGAGTTCTCTTCTCAGACCTGAACAAATACAGGAAACCCCATTCTTATGTCCTCCTCCAAGTTGAAAGGGAGAGCAGAACTCCACTGGGTCACTGTGGAAATGAACAGGA